GGTGGGTCCCCTGGTTGGAGGCAAAGAGCGAAGACCGTCTGCAAGCTGATGTGAAGGGTCGAGGGGAGCATGGGGAACGAGGCATCAGAGGCGACTGCTGCAGGGCAGGAGACAGGAGGTGTTGCAGGGACAAGCCTGTCCTTTAGGCTGCACCCCTGGAGAGGGGAGGGCAGAGAAAGAGGGGACACAAAAGCCCCCCCCAAACCCATTACCTGCTGGAGAAAGTGCTGGGGGAAGGACTTGGGGGACATCAGTCGGAAGTCATGGCGCTTGAGCTGGGGAGAGCCCCTGTAGCCCCTCTGCACAGGGGAGCTGAGGAAGTTGAGGGCTGCATTGCTGGACAGTGGGGGCCTCTCCAGGACCTGGAGGATGGCTTTGTCCTGCAGGGAGGAGGCAGCTGGAGATAGGAATGGGGCCCAGCTGGGATCAATTTTACTCCCCCAGCACACCAAAGCTTTCACTCCTTGCTCAACCAAACCATGCAGAGCCAGGCTCCCATCCTGGCTGCATGCAACAGCAGGGGACCAACAAGGACACCCAGCATGGGAGTCCTGGTCCCCCCAAACTCAAACTCAAGCTCTGCTTAGTGTGAGCACCTCCACTCACAGCTTTTGCACCTAAGAGATGCATCCTTGCACATCCAGACCCACGATGAGGCTTTGGAGGTCTCTTGGTCACCCCAAATCACTGCATGACCCTTGGCCCACGGTACTGAGGAGCTCCCCAAGGGCCTGGCTGGGGATACCCACCTCCAGCACGTGGTGGGGTGGGATGCTGCCTGGGCAGGAACCCCACACCACAGGATCCACCTCCAGCTGGAAGACAGGGAAATGGTCAGGACACAGGAGGATGACAGGAGAAGAGGGACAGGGGACACAAAGCTCTGTTACCAGATAGGAGGGACCATTTTTACCACATTCTCTTTGTCAAACTCTGCCCAGCAAGTACCAATCCTACTGTCCAGCACCGCTGAGTCTTGGCTCTGCAGGCAAAGGAGAGGTTATAGGCATGTACTTGGCAGGTACCAAACCACTCCCTGTTGCCCTCCATGGGGCAGGACCCACAGGTGGGAGGATGTAGAGGGGAGCAGCAGGTCCCTGGCAGCCCATCTGTCCACTGACCAGGCACAGGTGCCCTCCCTCCCCACTCACACCTTACCTCCAGCGTGGGTCTGCTCTGCACAGCTCTCATCACTGCTGGATCTCCCAGGTCATTGGGCTCCTCAAAAGGCTCCTGGTCTTCCTCCTGCTCCTCAGCCCCTGGCTCACTGTCAGCCTCCTCTTCTTCCAACTCAGTACCCATCTGCTCAACCTCTGGCTCCATCCTACCTTCCTCCAGGTGCTCTCTAAGCTCCTCCAGCTGCTCAGCTGCTCCTGGTCTCATTTCCTCCCCAATATCACTCTCTTCTGCCACCACCTGGGCCAGCTCAGGGCTCATCTCCAGAGGCATCAGGAGTTTTGTGGCATCCTCCTCATTAGACTCTTGGTCTTGGAGGGAACAAGGAGAGCACATCAGGAGGGGCTGGAAGCCTGAGTAGCATGCACCAGGGTCCAGGCTTCCAACCCACCTCCTCACTAGGCAGGAGGACACCTACCTCAGCCTCCCTACCTCCATCCTTCTCACCCTGTTGGGTGCTGGCTGATCTCCTCAACCCTGACATCTTACCTAACCCAAAAGTCATCTCATTGTACAGGTCAAGCTCTTCATCCTCCTCAGCCATCTCCTGAAGCAGAGGCTCATCTTCCACCAACAGATAGTCCTCAAGGATCTGGAGTCAAAAGCAACAGGGTCCATGGTAAGGGAGACAAGCAGTAACGTGGCAACCCTAACCTGCCCCACCCTGGGCAGGAAGCAACCCAACCTCCCTCTTATCCCACTGATGGTGCTGGGCAGCACCCAGGGCTCATGGCTGCTCTAAAGCTGAAAAGGGAAGAGCAAGAACCACCGGCACTATCAGCAAGGACAGGACCCACTGGCTCAGTGCAGGATGAGAGCCCAAGAGAGCCTGCACGGAGTAGGTCTGCAGCCACCCAGACATGGCGGTGGCTAGCACCGAGGGACACCATTAAGCTTCAGAGTGAACACCCTGCAACTGGGGCATAGACAGCACCCAAACCCAAGGCAGGGAAGAGCACCCCACCAGCACCTCCGCGATAGTGTCTTCTCCGGTACCAAGTGCGCTCCGGAGAGAGCCAGCACCCAGGAGAAGGAAGGAGGGAAGGGAGGGAGGAGGACGAGCGTAACCGGGGACAGAGTAGCCTGTCAGGGCGGAGCAGGGCGGGCACTCACAACCGGCTCGCCGCCCTCCGCCATCCTGCAGCGCCGCCCGCCTCCCTCTACGGGGCCGCACTGCTCCCGCCGCCGCCTTTTACAGACCGGCACCGCGCCGCCGCGCATGCGCCTGCCGTACAGCATGGTGGCGCCCGGCTGTGCCCCGCGTCTGCGCAGTCTTTTCGCCCCGCCCCCTGCCGGCGAGGCCACGCCCGCTCAGTTGTCCTCTCCCGCCTGGAGCAGGGATGGAGCCGGGGGAGGGAACATGAGGGTGAGGTTTAATAACCCCAGCCCGGGTTTTTTTCCTTATTGTCATCGCTCCCCAGGGCCTTTTCCGAACCCGCGCTCCTCTGAGTGGGCAGGGAAACCCGGCGGGACGTGGTCGGACCTCGGAGGTGTGTGGTAGTAGATCTGAAAGCACAGGGGAGCAAAACTAAGGTGGAGGCGGTGTAAATCCCTGTGTCTTGCGAAACGCAGTGGGCTGCCCTTATCCCCCTGAATGTGACTCGGTCGTGTCAGACCTCGTCCGCTTGCTAGATGTTTCTCTGTGTTTATAAAAGCAGAAGATGTGGCTGTTTGAACCAAATTATTGTGGTTTTATTTTTAGAAATGCCACAGGGAAGAAACTCGTGGATCATCATCTTCTTGCAGGGAAAATCTGGCAGGTGTTGCTGGTTACAGCAGAGTCAATCTCCAGGGACTCCCATCCTGGCATGGAGAACGGATCTGTGTCCTGCAATCAGCCCTTTGTATAATTAATCCTCCTGAGGCAAGGGGATGGCTCATCCGAGCAGAGCCAGACCAGCCTGCCGGTCGGGCTGTGAAGTGGTGTCCCCCAATGCCAGTTCAGCCACCGACACAGCAGTTAGCATTTATTTCTGCCTCGAGATCCCTGATAAGGCCCTGGCAGCAGCTACATCCCCTTAGCTCGCAGCGAAAACACTCAGTGACAGGTGTGTGGCCACTGGTGCCGCTCAGCAGCCAGCAAAGCCAGCAAGAGCTCTGCTTAGAGTGGGTCCAGGGCAGATTTATAATGAGCATCTGCAGGTGGGTTTTTTTGTTCAGTCTCTACTGATTTACCTGCTGCCTTTGGGTGGAGGCATTCTCCGTAAATGCTTTATTGATTCAAGTTAGGTTTTTAAATAGGATTTATTAAGGTGAGTCTTAAAGGGGCTCCATGGCATTGCTGTTTTATTCACACTAGTAGTGATTTTCCTGTCTTTTCTCTTTCATTTTTTAACTTTTTAATCTTTACACAGCTGAATGGAAGACAGCATAGATGTATCCCGTTCCCAGTCTGAAACAGTGACTAAAGATAAGTACTACATGAGTTGCAGGATCACAAGCAGCCAAGCTCCTAGGTGTATAAAATAACTACATGCTCTTCAATACTGGCTCATTTTCCTCTTTTAACCTTGGTTTTCTTAATGGTGCCATTCAAAGCTGCTGTGCTTCTCTCCTCCAAGCAGTGCCACAGGGCCATCTGGAGGCATACCCCACTTAGCCGGGCTACGCTGCTCAGTTTTTCTAAAGACACCAAAAAATGTGGCTCTTTGACCTTTAGGTTCTCATGTTTACTGTCAGGGTGTCTGTGTTGTGCTCGAACAGCAGAGTCCACCCACCACACTGCCACTGGAGTGAGATGCCAACGTGCAGGGTTCAAACGAAAGCAAGCCAAGGATCAGAGAGGTGGCTGGGCTGTGCCAGCGTTGACTGTTGGCATTAACACCAATCCTGGGTGCAAAATCACAGAACACTTTGGGTTGCAAGGGCCTATTAGAGGACACCTAGTCCACCCCCCCTGCAGCGAGCATTCTCTGTGAGAGGTCATTTTTACCCCTCGCTTTGGCGAGGAGCAGAAGCCAGGTGAGCACTTTGTAGCTGGTGTTCCATGAGCTGCTCCTGATGGGGATTCCTGACTGCAGGCCTCCAGCTCAAGGCCCCAGCCCAGTGCCACCTCACGCCTCTGATGCCCCCTTCCCTGAGGTGAAGGCCAAGGGTGGGGCAGGCCCTGGGGTGGGAATGGCCCCGGGGTGGGGCACAGCAGACCGAAATCGAAAGCGAAAGCCACGCTGCCCGCAGTGCGCAGGCACTGGTGGCCGGCTCGCACAACCTCTCCGCTCCCTCTCTGCCTGGAGACTGATGACGCGTGGCAGTTCCGCGTCGCCATTGGCCGCGGGCTGCAGGGCCTATAAAAGCTGCCGGGCGAGCAGGGCGGGCTGTAGTGGTTGAAGCGAGTGGAGCAGTGAGAGTGTGGTCATGGAGCTGACGCTGAAGGTCGGGGTCCTGGTGCTGGTCGCGCTGGTCAGCCTGGGCAAGGCGGATGGTGAGTGCCCGAGGAGAGCATGAAGGGCTCTACTGGTGGTGCTCTGCCCGGTACGGGTTACCGATGGGGGCTGGAGGGCTGCCGTGCTCGGGTGGGTGTTGGTTTCTCTGAGGTGGTGCCTGCTGTAGCCTTGCTTCTCACGGCTTCCTTGCACACTCCAGAGGCCCCCAAGGTGGAGGTGTACTCTCGTAGACGTGTCGTAGATGGCGAGGAAAATGTCCTCAACTGCTTCGTGAGCGGTTTCCACCCGCCAAAGATCGAAATCTCCATCCTCAAGAACGGGCAGCCCATGAGTGGCGTGAAGTACGCGGACATGTCCTTCGATGACAAGTGGAATTTCCAGCGCCTGGTGTATGTGCCCATCATCCCTAAGAAGGGTGACAAATACTTCTGCAAGGTGGCCCATTCCACCTTCCCAGAGCCGCAGCTTTACCGATGGGGTGAGTTTCTTCAAGCTTTGCTGTCATTCACGGGCAGAAACCAGAGCTTGTTAATTTATATCCACAGTTCCCCTTAGGAAACAGGGTGCTATGACGGGGTGGGTTCTGAAGGTCCTGTGCTGTAGATGGAAAATTAAATTGGTTTTAACTGGGCTGCTGAAAAAGCTGCACATATGTACCCGTGAATGAGTTCGGTAGTAGCAGGTAGGGAAGGCTTGCCGTGGTGTTGTCTGTAGGTGTTTGGTTATGTCTGACAACTGTTGGTGGAGGACTGATCTCTTTCAAGGTGAACTTGCCTAGAAAAGTATGAGTCATGGAGTGATTTATTTTTTTTTTTCTTTATAATTGGTGATTATAAAGGACAGCTCTCTGGTTACTGCACCGGGGCTGTTTACAGCACGGGTGGGCTTGTGATGGTGGGTAAGACTGGGTGCTGTTTGCCCCAAAGCCTAGCGCTCTACCTTTCTTTTTTGTAGATGAAGACTTCTAAGCTGTAGCTGGGATGTTCATGGTGAGTTGTGCTGATGCTCCATGCTGTGCTGGTAAGGGGAAAGTGGTCTGCTTTCTGAGGGGTGGAGAGTGGGTGGGGAGTCTGTAGCTTGCAGGGTGGATGAACAAAGGCAACCACTCCTCTCCTCAAAAAAAACCCAAATGTATAGTGTTGCTGCCAATTTAGAGCAGGGCTGTTCTGACACCCTTTCTACCCATTTTAGCCAGTTCTCAGGCATACCTTGCTTGTAAGAGTCTCCTTTGCTCAAAAGAAAGGAGGAATTTGTAGAAAAACTCCCAGTGTGTCTACTAGATGCTGTTGAGTTGTCATGTGTCTGCTAGTGCTTCTCCAGACCCCATGGTGCTGTTTCCTGTCTGGTGCGGAGGAAGTTCCCATACCTGGAAATTCCCATGACTTGGGGGGAGGCAGCCTGGTAAACCCTGCAGCGGGGAGGATGTCAGCTCGGTAATGTGGGATTTATGAGGCACAGATCAGTGCCTTGCTGCCAGACCAGAAGCAGCCTTGGTTCACTGGTGTCCCACAGTCGGAGTGCTTGGGGTTCTTCAAACTATTTGGGCATAACTGATCTGCTTTTAGCAATTGGGTAAATACCAGTTAAACCCTTGAAAGGGAAAAAGAAACTAAAGATGCATGATCTAGTTGACATGGTTGCATGCTGGTTGAAAGGCCAATAGAAGCTGGGTAATTATTAACCATGCCCAGGACAAGCCTTGGCAAAATCCTCACTTAAAATGTCCTTCACACTGGACCAGGAAATGTTACTGATGGAGTTCCCTTGTGGAAAACACTTTCTCTTAAAACAAGTACAGATGAAGGTGTGAACAGAGTGACTGATGTCAATCTCCTTCCACCCATGCAGGTCTGAAGAATTCTGCCTTCCAAGTCAAAGCCTTTTTGAGCTTCAGCCCTTTTTTTCACATCTTGCTTGTGGATATGATGAAGAAAAGCAGTCATCTTTGCTGCAGAATTCCTTTTTTAATAGAGTTGAAATATAATTTACCCAAAGCAGTATGTGAGCTAGGCTTTGTTTTTTTGAGCACGAAGCTATAAATCTCTGCATTACTGATTTAAAAAAAACCAACCACAAACCTCACAACTGTAGCTCTTCAATGCTCTGAATTCTACACTATTTTTATCCAAATAAAATTGGAAGGCATCACTGGAGTCCTTAAATGTTTCTTCAGAGTTGTATGACAACCTGTGCTGCTGACTGCTGGGTCGTGGGTGGCTCTGGAGGGTGGAGAGTGCTCAGGTGCACTTTGTCCTGCTGAGAAGGTAAGGGAACACTTTTATATTGGGGAGCGAAGAAAGTACTAAAGGTTTCTGTGGTTCATGTAGGATCTGCCTGGTGACAGACTCCTGAGTTGCTTTGAATGGATGGCACAAGGTTTGAAAAAGGGGACAAAGTAACCTTGGGGGCACCGGGTCTGATCCTAAAGCTGGGTGAGAGGATAAAGGAATGGATGGGCAGGAGGTCGTGCCCCCTTCAAGGGGGGGGAACTCCAGCTGATGCTTCTCTGGGGTGTGTGCTGTAAAGCTGGACTGAGGTTCCCCTCACATGTGCGTGTTGGTGGCTTTCATTTCTGTTTTTTCTCTTCTGCAAGTGGCTGCCCAAGGAGCAGCCCTGTTGGAGCCAGTCTTCTGCCATACTTTGGGGGTTTGATGACACTAACCAAAAATGGTGCTACTCAGCTGTTATGGTTTAAGGGTTACCAGCCTGAAAGGGAAGGACTGGTGGTGTCTGTAGGACGCTGGAGGGTCAGAGATCAGTTCTGTTCCCTCCCCTTTCCGGCCACAGTCTATAAAAAAACCGAGATTTTCGTGGGCTTTTCCTGGCTTTCCTGGGCTGCTTCCTGTCGCATCTCAGGACGGCTGGGCCTAGCTCCACATGTTCCACAGCATCCGGCACTGCTGCGGGCCCTGGTCACAGTCTCAGCAGTCACAGCGGCCACGAGGCACTGTTTGGACACTTCCACTCGGAACTACTGGGACCGGGTTTTGTATATAGTTAAATATCCTTTGTCCCTTATTAATTCCCTTTTCCTTTCCCCTGTTGTTTTCATTAAACTTGTTGCAGTCTTAACTGCCAACCTTGTGCGAAGCAATTTTTTTTTTCCTCTCTCTATTCCCTTTTCTTAATCCTCTCCCTGGAGGATTAAAATCCTGCTCTCTCTCTGACCCTTAAACAGAGACATCAGCCTGCTTTTATTTTATGAAGTCAGGATGATTGCTTGGTGGCTGTTGGATCGAGGAGGATCTCTCTAGTGCATATCTCATGTGTGTGACCAAGGATTCTTGGCAACCTAGTGGATGTGGTCCACTGCATCTCTCTTCTTGGGTGTATTAAGATTTGCTGTGACTGGTGTTACAGAACACCCCCTTGAATTTTA